TAATTAATTCCATAACTTATGTGTTTAAAGTAGTTTTAATCCAAAAACTCTTCAAGTTCCATAACTTGAGGACAAATTATGGAAGACTTTAAACTAATAAAGAATTAACTTTTTCTTTATTTTATAACTTATGGAATTAATTAAGGTTACATTATTTTTTTTATTTATTTATTAATGAAGTGACTCTTGAACCTCCATAACTTAAGGACAAGACTCTTCATCTTTTGTAACCTTTGCCAACTTTATGAGTTTTATGAGTCTTTAATGTGACTCTTCATGTAACTTAAGGATAAGTTACACAAACACATTTTATACTCAACTCTTAGATTAATTTGGATTGAAAACAACTTTTCACTCAACTTTTCTATTAATCTAAGCAACTCATAAGAACAAGATAATTCAAATCAAACTTTTTCATGTAATTAGTCTAACCTTTAAACTAATACAAAACATGAATCTATTGACAATTATCTTTGAAAATGGATTAGCATGAACATTACCACATTAAAAAACAAGTTTATAAGTTCAAAAACAACTTAGGGTAATGTTCCTAGTCCATTTCTAGCCAAAAACCTCGAAGATATGCTGTCTGGGGTCCAACTCGTCGAGTGCATGAACCAACTCGGCGAGTTGGATGCATTTTGCCTTGGACTCGTCGAGTCCCTTCATGGACTCGGCGAGTCTGCTGGGCTGACAGCATCAAAACTCGATTTTTCAGCTTCTATTGCAGGTATAACAAGAAAACAAGCCTAGGCTCTGATACCACTGTTGGGTTATGAGCATTCTAACACTCCTAAGTGTACATGCAACCCTAAATACCTTGGATCTATGTTTTCTCTATTATACATGCAAATATGAACATCCAAGGTATTATCCTAATCTAGCATACAAAACTATCAATATAACAAGATAGAATACATACCTCTTTGATGTAGAATGTCTTCATGAAGCTTGAGTGCCTAGTGCCCCAAGTGTGACACCTCAAATGGTTCACACAACACCAAATACACTTGGAATAACTTGAGAGAATTCTACACTTCATAAAATCGGCTAGCCCTCTCTAGAATAATCTAGTGGCCGATTTTGGGAAGAATAATATCTTTATATAGTGTTACAATTAGGGTAAACCCTAATTGTCATGACTTTCCATTTCCTTGGATCCATGGGTTCAAATACACCATGGAGCATCCATGGAGCATCATATGGGTTTTGGCCCAACTAGATAATCCATGGAGCATTAGCCCACTATATAAGTATGGATGATTTACACAATCAACCCATATATTTAATTAGTCTTCTTTTGATCACTTAATTAATCCTAGATTAATTCTTGATCAATACTAATTAAATAATCTTATTATTCTTATTATTAATATACTAGAACTTATAATATATTAATAACCATAAGTGTCTTATTTCTCTCATTATAGTCTATCCAAGTGCATGATGCCATGCAACCCAAATGGACCATGTCGGGTCGGGTCAAGTCTTACCAATTATAGTTATGGACTTAGACATTAATCCAACAGGATCAACTTTGGTCCCACTAGAAGAGGAACCATCTCGGGCTTTCAACTTGCGATAGTTGTTCGAAGAAGCTTTCCTCTTCTTTCCCTTCCCTTGACCAATAGCCAAGACAGGAGCAGCGGATGGATTGGGAGTTGGTGCAACAGACTTGTCCTTGAAATTGCTCTCAGCAACCCTCAAGAGACCTTGGAGTTTACTTAGAGTGACCTCCTCTTTGTTCATGTGGTAGGTCATCCTAAATTGATTGTACATCGGAGGCAAAGAGTGAAGCACCATGTCGATCGCCAAGTCTTCGCCGAAGTCAACATTTAACTTGCGAAGGCGGTCGACATACCTTTGCATCTTTTGCAAGTGCACGGTAAGAGATTCTCCATGACCCATCTTAGCGGAAATCATGTTAGTGAATCTCGTAACGCTCTTGTCTCGCGTTTTGGTGGTACCTCTCCAACAAGTCTTGATGCATCTCGTATGGATACATGTCCTCGTAGGACTTTTGGAATTCGGAGTTCATGGTGGCGATCATGATGCAATGTACTTCGTTGCATCTCGCTCATGAGTTTCAAAGGCGGTGATTTCTTCGGGAGTAGCAACTTCGGGGTTGATTTTCTCGAGCTTCTCGTCGAGGACATACTCTTTATCCTCATAGCGAGCAATGGTGCGAATGTATCTTATCCATTCGCTAAAGTTCGTTCCATCGAAGGTGACCTTTTGGCAAAGGCTCATCAACGTGAAAGAACTAGCAGCAGCGTTGTTTGCGTTTGACATCTATAGAAAGGACAAAGATAGATTAGAACAAGAATCCCTAATTATCACCCAATAAGAAAAATTAGGGCTAGGATCCAACAATAACATTTACATACTAGAAAAGGGATGCCGTAATCAATATGCAAATAAATTGAAGGTAAGTGAATGACGATTCACTAATTCTCCATTACAAAACTTAAACTATTAGTCCTAAGTGTTTTTGAGAATTCCTAGGTTCGGATGAGATTCATTGAACTATTCAATGGCATGTTTAAATCTCGATATGCCCCTCTTGTTTGTGACTGGGATGCCGAGGATCACAAAGCGGGTGTGAATTACCATGCAAATTCACATGGTGCCTTCATTGTAACGATCACCTATTCGATGTGCCGGTAAACCACACACGCTCCATCGAACTATGATAAACAATGAATCACCCTTTGCCACCTTCGCTTAGAACCAATTAGTGTGCCGGTAAACCACACACGCTCCACTAACATCTTAGCAAGGTGCAAAGTGTAATTTCATGGAATTGCATCAATTCACTTTTCCTAAAGTAACTAAGATTGGGAAATTTTAAAAAATTAGTTACTTCGTATTTCTTATTATACTTTTAATGAGAGGATGAGGTTGCCCTATCCTACCCGTTCGGCTAACGACCCTCCACCAATCAAGCAAGCGGTGGGTGTGAGTGTACACCCATTAAGCGCCATTTTATAGGCCGCAACCTTATACCCACCTTATAGATCGGCTTCGTGAATGAGGCCTACTAGCGGTAAGACTAGCATTTAGTTATACATATATATATTATTCTAGTAATATCATATAAGTATAGGGTTGCATTTTAAACTTTTCAAAATCTAGGGTTTGAAATTTAAGTTGTCTAAATTAAAACTTTTAATCACAAATATAAATTTCAAAACTTTAGGGTAGGTTTTAAACATTTAAAACATGGAGGATCAAATAACAAATAATTCCAATTAACAATTAATATTCTAATTATCTTTATTTGATTTATCTTGATTTCTTTGAAGATAATTACCAAAATAATTAATCATTATCATATAAGGAAATTAAATATTTTATTAGATGATAAATATCTTTAATTAGATCAAGATAATAGTCATATTTATCAAAAAATCGGATTTATATTGATCTAATATGATTAAGGTAAGTTTCCATAAGATAATTATGAAAAAATCCCGAATCTGGCCATTCCTGACGCCTGGACTCGCCGAGTGCACAAGGGAACTCGCCGAGTCAGGCCTACTCGACGAGTCCACCTTGGAACTCGACGAGTCAGTGACTCAAAACCCAAAAATCGAATTTTGCAGGTTTGTTTCAGTTAATCAAGCAACAATTTAAAGAAAACCAAGCTAGGCTCTGATACCACTGATGGGTTTTAGCCATAAGAACTTTCCTATGTGCGCATGCAAAACCCTAATGCTTGGATCTAGGCTTTCTAATAAACATGCTTTTGAATCCAAGACTTCTAATGGCTAATTAGGTTAAACAACAATATTGAAACAGATCTAGAATCATACCTTTGAATTCCTTGTTGATCTTGTTTGTCTTGGAGCTTCTAGAGTCACAATTGTCACTCCTCTAATGGCTTACAAACACCAATAGCAAGCAAGATGATTTAGGAGAGAGGAGAGGGGAGGAATTCAACCAGAGGTTCCTTGCTTTAAGGTTGTGTGTCAAATTCCCTCACCCATAGGGGCTATTTATACTATTAGACTCCTTAAGGGTTTCACCCTAAACCCTAATTGGATAATCTTCTCTTAAGGCTATCCAAATCCATTCCATAGATAACCCTATGGACGATTTGAGCTATCCTTAAGCTCTTAGAATCCGTCCAAGGTATATCCTAATGGATTTACAGTCTAAAGTCTAACTATCAAACAATTGACAGTTTATACCCTCTTATTTAATTAATCTCTTTAAGTCACCAAATTAATACCAATTAATATATGACTTATATTAATTAAATAGCTAAATATTATTCCTTATAATATTTACTCTCTCTTAATAAATCATCCTTCAAGTTGCTATGGTGAAGGCAACCCAAAAGGACCATGCACAACCAAATATAGTTATAGCCTTAGACACTATTCCAACACTAATGATTCCTGGCTAATACTAATTCTTCATAATGGAATGAAATTAATGATTCCGGGTTAATATTGATTCTTCACAATGGAATGGAATTAATGATTCCGGGTTAATATTGATTCTTCACAATGGAATGGAATTAATGATTTATGGTTAGAATAAAAAAAACTGATTCCTGGTTAATAGTGATTGTGTACGTTGAAATTGAATTAATGATTCCTAATTAATAGTAATTGTGTACATTGAAATGGAATTATTGATTCCTGTGACCACATATTGGAAAAAAATTAGACCACATATTGGAATGGAATTAATAAGTCCAGCAATACAAACAAGTTATCAAAAGATACATTAACAAAGAAGTTATCAAACGACACATTACCAAACCACATACATTACCAAAGTGGGACCACATACATTACATGCCAATAGAATATTTAAAAAGACACATACATTACACCTAACCACATGTGCCTTCATCAGTTTTTTTTTTTGGCTTAAATACAAAGTAGTTATCAAAAGATGTGTCCAACAAAAGATTCCCTACCAAAAAGCCATCCTTCAGAAAAGCTACCAAAAGATGCCCTTCACAAAAGTTGTCCCCAACATTGCTCCTAGAGTATGAGAGGATTTTCAAGACTTCCCCCTGTATCATCCTTGGTCACCCTTTTCCTCCTCAACCTAAGTTTTGTGTTCCTCTGAGAAGGACCACACTTTCTCCTTTTCAAAGTTGGAGCAACCACATGTTGATTTCCAGGATTCACCACTTGTTCATTAACCACTTGTTCATCATCCACCTCTAAATCCTCCTCTGAATCACCTCCAACTTCTTCCTCTGAATCACCTCCAACCTCCTCCTCTAAATCAACTCCAACATCCTCAGCAACCCCATGGCCTTGTCCCTGTCCCTGTCCTTGACCCTGTCCCTCACCCTCAAATAGCTCACGGTAATCAAAGACATCTAAATCATCTACTGCATTAACCTGATTGAGAGGACATTTCCTCTTGTTATGACCTGGTTAAGAACATAAACTGCATTTAGAAGTGATCCCAACTTTGCTAACAGTGTGTCTGTCACTTCTTTCTAAAATGCATTTCTTCCTGTTCATCTTTGGTCTGCCATGCATTCTTCTACGCTTTAGTGGTAAGATATTATTCATATCATTTGTTGGCCACATTTCATATCCATTTATTGACTTAACATTATACTTGTAGCAGCTTCCAAACATTTGTGTTGTGTACCAAATTGCTACATTCTCCTCTATAATTCCATTCAAGCACAAGATTGTAGAAATAGCATGGACACATAGTATACTTGTCAGCTGCCATGATTTGCATCCACAGGTTCTTTTATGTAAGTCAATTGCATAAACCTCATTCAACCACCTACTCTCATATTGACGAAAATCACTTGGAATTACTCCCCAAAACCTGATATGAAATGTAACATATAAGTTAGTATTGATCTATATGTATTATGTATAAATATAGTTATATACCTTTGTATTTTCTTCATGTCCTCAATCTTCCTTCTAATTGAGGGACAAATCTCCAAGTTCCACTTCAAACCCTTCCTTTTCTGAGTAAACATCCTTTCCATGACATACACTCTAATATCTTCCAACATTATTATTATTGGTTTTTTTCTAGCTTCCACAATGGTTGAATTAAATGACGCTGATATACCATTTTCAATGGCATCACTAACACTATCTTCTCTAAAAAATGCCCTATACCATATGTTTGTTTGTTTTTTTCATTAGGTGTTCATAGGCATTTATGTCAATCAATTTGATCACTTTCATGATATCTTCAAATTTTGTGGTTGTTGTGGCCTTGGCAACACCCCAAAAAAGTTTCCTGTATTCAGCTCCTGAGAATTTTCTCTTGAATTTGGCATAGACATGCCTAGCACATTGTCTATGCTCACATTCTGGCACTCTGTCCTTAACTTCTTCAATCAGACCCTATTAAGTAACATTTTAATGTCATTATAAATTAAAAATAAAATATAAATACTATTATTAAAAAACAATTGACTACCTTGTGTTGGTCAGAGATGATAGTTAGTCCTCTACCTTATCCCATATCAATGTCTTCAATCAATAGATCCAAAAACCATTTCCAATTTGCCTTATTTTCAATTACTACAACAGCCCATGTTAAAGGATACATTTGGTTATTTGCATCCCTACCAACAGCTGAAAGTACCTCACCTCTACAAAGTCCCTTTAAAAAACATCCATCTACACCAATCACTCTTCTACTGTCACACCCCCGAACCGGACACGTCCGAGGGCTCTTGTGACTCAAATTGAATACCATCACAATGCGTATACATGAATCATAACATAATTCATCACCATGCATTGAAATATTACAACTGATATCGTTTACATTCAGTACATTGTTTTAGACGTAACAATATCATAACATAAACCATTTGATAATAAATCTAAGCAAAACACCATGACATCTGTAACGCCTGTGTTTCTAGGCTTGCCATTTTTAGCAATATAATAGTCTAGGTTAACCTTGTAACTCAACTTGAAATAATAAGAATGTATTGTTTGTGAATTATTTGAATTATGTGATTTATGTGTGTGTTTTCTTAATTTTTATAATTTAATGAATTAAGAAATAAAATAAGCGTCAAAATTAAAGTGTGATATAAGCCCGACATCTTTGCATAAAGTTGTAGTGGTTGAAACAAGGATTCCGGAGATATAAGGAATGCAAAAATCCGAGTTATAACGAAGAAGTTATGACCTGTCGAAGTTTCGAAACAGAACCGGTACGATGCCGAGCGACGTAAAATATGAATTTAAGATAGAGCGATATTTAGCCTTAACAATCTAAATGAAAGTCGTAGATTTCGTTAAACCGAGAGCGTGCATAAAAGGAACGCCCAAATCTGACTTCGTATGAGGAAGTTATGATTTTCTGAAGTTTCGACGTGGCAGTATGCAGCCCGAATACTCGATTTGAGATCGAGCAGTTTTTAGCCAAAACAATCTAAATGAGAATCGAAGATCTCGTTGTTAGTAGCGAAACGATGAAAATTTAGGCGAGAACGGACGTCAGACGAAAAAGTTATGAATTTATAACGAAGTTTTTCTGTCCCAGCCTTCTAAAAATAAATAATAAAAGAAGTCAAAATTAGCCGACGGATTCTAAATGAAAGTAGTAGAGTATGGTATGACCTTCGCGTGGATATAAAGAACGTCGAAAACGGAGCTCGTATGCGAAAGTTACGCAATTTAGAAAATTGACAAGTCAATTACGCCCCGCGTAATTTGAGTACGCCCCGCGTACTCAGTCGGATGCAACTTGTCTGACCAATACTCGAGTGCCACCAGTCGACGCACGCAGTGACGTCAAAGTACGCCCTGCGTAATCGCAGACCCAGCAGCTTATAAATAGAACTCGAATTCAGCCATTTTCTCTTGTTCAAACTCTTCTCTCTCTCTAAGTTTTGCCTCGTTTTGCGTGCCGTTTATACTGTAACGCCCGTGTTTCTAGGCTTGCCATTTTTAGCAATGTAATAGTCTAGGTTAACCTTGTAACTCAACTTGAAATAATAAGAATGTATTATTTGTGAATTATTTGAATTATGTGATTTATGTGTGTATTTTCTTAATTTTTATAAATTAATGAATTAAAAATAAAATAAGCGTCAAAATTTAAGTGTGAGATAAGCCCGACATCTTTGCATAAAGTTGTAGTGGTCGAAACAAAGATTCCGGGGATATAAGGAATGCCAAAATCCGAGTTATAACGAAGAAGTTATGACCTGTCGAAGTTTCGCGACAGAACCGACACGACGCCGAGTGATGTAAAATATGAATTTAAGATAGAGCGATATTTAGCCTTAGCGATCTAAACGAAAGTCGTAGATTTCGTTAAACCGAGAGCGTGCATAAAAGGAACGCCCAAATCTGACTTCGTATGAGGAAGTTATGATTTTATGAAGTTTCGACTTAGCAGTATACAGCCCGAATACTCGATTTGAGATCGAGCGGTTTTTAGCCGAAACAATCTAAATGAGAATCGAAGATCTTGTTGTTAGTAGAAACAATGAAAAGTTAGGCGAGAACGGACGTCAGACGAAGAAGTTATGAATTTATAACGAAGTTTTTCTGTCCCGGCCTTCTAAAAATAAATAATAAAAATAAAAGTCAAAATTAGCCGACGGAGTCTAAATGAAAGTTGTAGAGTATGGTCTGACCTTCGCGTGGATATAAAGAACGTCGAAAACGGAGCTCGTATGCGAAAGTTACGCAATTTAGAAGTTTGACAAGTCAATTACGCCCCGCGTAATTTGAGTACGCCCCGCGTACTCAGTCGGATGCAACTTGTCTGACCAATACTCGAGTGCCACCAGTCGACGCACGCAGTGACGTCAAAGTACGCCCCGCGTAACCCGAGTACGCCCCGCGTACTGAGTACGCCCCGCGTAATTTGAGTACGCCCCGCGTAATCCCAGACCCAGCAGCCTATAAATAGAACTCGAATTCAGCCATTTTCTCTTGTTCAAACTCTTCCCTCTCTCTAAGTTTTGCCTCGTTTTGCGTGCCGTTTATACCCCAAAGCCCCGGTAATATTCCCGAGCCCCGAAGTAAGATCCGAAGCCCCGAGGATCCCGAAGAGCGTTATTCCCGAGCCGAAACGCTGCCCGCGAGGAGCCCGGTTTTGTGAAGATCTTCCAGATCTACGGAGAAACACCTCTTCTGCAAGCCGTAGTGCTGCCCGATCATCTTCTGATCAAGTGAGTGTGTAGTTATTTTCATTCCAACGCAATATTATGAAGTATTTCTATAAAATACGTGTTATGTGTATATATTTGGTTGTTATACGTGTGAGTGTATATTCACTCTCTTCTATCTTATAGATCTGATGTATTCTCTATGAAATACGTGTTATGTGTGTATGCCTCATCTGTTATGTGGAATATGTATTGATTAAACATGTTATACAGGTTTTTAAACTATGTATAAAAATGTATATTTTTATCTACTAATATGTTGGGTAGAACATGGGTAGATAATTGGTGTGTAATAAACAGATGAGAGGCCTCGGTGTTATTGGTGTTATTCTAGTCATTCAGCAGAGTATGGATGACGACCACGGACTATTCTAGACTGTCCTGTGGAACACTAGCAGGCTCATTACCTGTAGGTGTTGTGAACGACGTGTTCACCGGTGTACTCTATCCCCCACATGGTTGCCTTTAGGACACTTATTGTTGAGGAAGCCCCTCTGCAGTAATGTCCGTCCCGATGAAAAATCCTGAAATAGGTTCCTTATAATAGACGTTATTTTTAGGAACGTAAGGTGAGGATAACGGGAATGGGTAATCGGGTTTATTGTTGATTGTTGAAATTAAATATAATTATTGTGGGTTGAAAACCCTATATGCTCACCAGGCTCCCAAGCCTGACCCACTCAGTTGATTTATTTTACAGGAAGTGGCGCAAGAGCTTAAGATGGGCGAACATCAAGTTGTTTTGTTTACAAGTCTGTATATGTATATATTTGTTGAATGACTTGTAATGCTATCGTTTATGCTTTATGATCTGTATCGGAACATGACATCCCGACTTTTGATTATGAAATGAAATCATATTTCTTTATGAAATGTTTTGATAAATATCTATTTTATCATGTTTTGTTTTTGGGAACAAATTCCGCATCTCTTTTAAAATTAAAAGGATTTACTCTGAAAATTATTTTAAAAAGCATAAATGAAATCGGTCTTTTCTGGCCGAGATTTTGGGGATGTCACAGTTGGTATCAGAGCATTAGTTTAAGCGAACTAGGAATTTGTAGGATTTCTAAACTTAAACTTAGCATTCTAAGTGGAGATTGCGAGGTGTGTGTCTGTTGGATTTTAGACACAAGCACTAGTTTATTTTAGGAAAGTTGCCTAAAATGCTTTTATGTGCTAAATGTTATATGTTGCCATATATGATATTATTTGTTCGGATCTATGGTTTGTTGCCAACCGGATCTGAAGGTTTATGTGTTTAGGATTCTAAGCGTATGTATACGATATTAGAACTAGCATGTAATCGTTTGGAGTAATAAGGTGAAATTATTCGGTGTATAGATCAAAATGGTGAGAACAAGAAGCGGAGTTGGAAATGCTAATGAAAACAGGAATCAACCGCCTGTAATCGAGCAAGTACCTGTCGTAGCTGCTGCACCTGAGCCGATAACAATGGCTGGTGTACAAATGATGATTCAAATGATGTTGGATCGTCAGATGGAAGAAACAAGACGCCTGCTTAGGCAGAATCGTGAAGAACCGTCAATTCAAGCGGAAGAGCCCGAGGAGAATGGAGGGCAGTCTGAAGGAGAAAACTTTAGTGGGATCATTGGTCAAGACGAACAACCAGTGGTTAGACGCAATAACCAGTATGGAGGAAATGATGGTCGTGGGTGCAAGTATAAGGATTTCATGGCATCCAAACCACCATGCCTATCCGGAAGCCCGACGCCGGTACAAGTTATGGACTGGGTCTCTGAAATGGAGACTATGTTTGAAAGTTGCGAATGCAGCAACAGGCAGAAGACCGCTCTTGCGATCCC